GTTGGGCGCATATATATTTAGGAAAGTTAGGCCTTCTAGTTGAATTGAACCCTTTACCATTATGTAATGCCCTTCTTTGTCTTTTTGATCTTTGTTAGTTTGAAATCTGTTTTGTTGGAAATTAGGAGACAACTCCTGCTTTTTTCTGTTTTCCATTTACTTGATGGATTTTCCTGCATCCCTTTATTTTCAGTCTATGAGCGTCACTGCTTGTAAGTAGGTGTCTTGAAGACAGCAAACCATTGTGTCTTACTTTTTTATCCAGCTTGCCACTCTGTCCCTTTTAAGTGGGGCATTCAGCCCATTTACATTTAAGGTTAGTATAGATATGTGTGGATTTGATCCTATCATTGTGCTGTTAGCTGGTTATCATGTTGGCTTGTTTGTGTAGTTGATTTACAATGACACTGGTCTGTATGTTTAAATGTGATTTTGTATTAGCTAGTAGTGGTGTTTCCTTTCTCTATTTAGTGCTCCTTTCAAGGTTTCTTGTAAGGTAACCCTGGTGGTAATGAAGTCTCTCAGCATTTACTTATCTGAAAAGGATCTTATTTCTCCTTCACTTAGGAGGCTTAGTTTGGCTGGATATGAAATTCTTGGTCGAAGATTATTTTTCTTTAAGAATGTTGAATATAGGCCCCCAATCTCTTCTGGCTTGCAGGGTTTCAGCAGAGAGGTCCTCTATTAGCCTCATGGAGTTCCCTTTGTAAGTGACCTGACCTTTCTCTCTACCTGCTTTTAACATTCTTTCTTTCATTTAGACCTTGGAAAATCTGGTGATTGTGTCTTGAGGATGATCCTCTTGTGTAGAATCTTGCAGGAATTTTCCATATTTCCTGAATTTGACTGTTGGCCTTGCTAGCAAGTTTGGGGAAGTTTTCATAGATGATATCCTAAAATATGTTTTCCAAGTTGTTTGCTTTCTCCCCCTCCCTTTCAGGGATGCCAATGATTCACAAATTTGGCCTCTTTACATAATCCCATATTTCTTTCTTTCTTTTTTAATTGCATTTTAGGTTTTGGGGTACATGTGAAGAACGTGCAAGATTGTTGCATAGGTACACACATGACAGTGTGGTTTGCTGCCTTCCTTCCCCTCACCTGTATCTGTCATTTCTCCCCATGCTATCTCTTCCCACCTCCCCACCCCCATCCCTCCCCCATTTCCCCCCAACAGACCCCAGTGTGTCATGCTCCCCTGCCTGTGTCCATGTGTTCTCGTTGTTCAACACCCACCTATGAGTGAGAACATGCGGTGTTTGATTTTCTGCTCGTGTCAGTTTGCTGAGAATGATGGTTTCCAGGTTCATCCATGTCCCTACAAAGGATACGAACTCATCATTTTTGATGGCTGCATAATATTCCATGGTGTATATGTACCACATTTTCCCTATACTTTTTTTTTTTTTTTTTTGAGATGGAGTTTCACTCTTGTTGCCGAGGCTGGAGTGCAGTGGCATGATCTCAGCTCACTGCAACTTCCACTTCCCAGGTTCAAGTGATTCTCCTGCTTAGTCTCCTGAGAAGCTGGGACTATGGGTATGTGCCATCATGCCTGGCTAATTTTGCATTTTTAGTAGAGACAGGGTTTCACCAAGTAGGCCAGGCTGGTCTCAAACTCCTGATCTCAGGTGATCTGCCTGCCTTCAGCCTCCCAAAATGCTGGAATTACAGGCATGAGCCACCACACCAAGTCATAATCCCATATTTCTCAGAAGTTTTGTTCATTCCTTTTCATTTTTTCTTTATTTTTGTCTGACTGTCTTATTTCAGAGAACCAGTATTTAAGTTCTGAGATTCTTTCCTCAGCTTGGTTTAATCTGCTGTCAATACTTGTGATTACATTGTAAAATTCTCCTGTTGTGTTTTTCAGTTCTTTTTTATACCAGCTATTTTGTCCTGCAGCTCCTGTATTGCTTTATTGTGATTTTTATTTTTCCCGGATTGGGTTTTGCCATCCTCCTGAATCTCGATAATCTTTTTTCCTATCCATAAATTATATTTCCGTCATTCCAGCCATTTCAGCCTGGATAAAAACTCTTTTTGGAGAACTGATTTGGTCATTGGGAGGACATACCACACTCTGGCCTTTTGAGTTACTACAGTTCTTGCATTGGTTCTTTCTCATCCTTGCCTGTGGGTCTTCCTTTAACTGCAGTGTAGACTGAGTACAATCACTAGAGTTCTTTTCTGGATGTTTGCACCAGACTGAGGCTTTGTGCAGGGCCTTTATTTGAAGCTGACTTCTTGTCTCTGATTTTAAAGGGATGTTTGCTAGTGAGGTATTTTTGATGTTGATGCTTTGAGGTGTGATCCAGCAGGTGGCACTTAGGCTTTTTGGTCAGTTGGTAGACTCTTGCTCAGTTATGTGGTTCCCTATGTTTCCGCACAGTTGCAGCAATTTATTTCTCAATGCTCTGAAATTGTGAGTTCCTCTCCCACTTCAGTGCTGGCTGTAGATCATGATTTGGCACTCCTGAGCTGCCCATTACAGCTCTGGGGTGATCTCGGTGCTTATGTTTCTTCCCCACCTAGGAGGCAGCAGAGGAAGAGATCTTAGTAAAGGTTGTGGCCAAGGGTTACTTGCTTGTCTCCTGGGGCTCCACTCCAAAGAGATGCAGGTCAGTAATCACTCAGTGCAATCAGCCCAGGATGGAGTGTGATATGGTAAAAGCCCCATAAAACTGCATACCTCAACCATACCTCCACTTTCTGTTGAAACTGCTCTCTGTAACCCAAATCTGACAGGCAAGCAGTCCAAACCCACACCATCTTGGCCCCTGTGACTTGTAATAAGTAATTAAGGACTGTAAATTCCATCCTACCCAGACAATGTGAAAACAAATGCTTGTCTTGACTTTTGTGAACCACTTAAGTAACAATCAGAATGTCAAAAGGCCCCTGGCCCTCAGAATGTCCAGAGCCCCTCACCCTCATCTCCGCCCAGGAGGTGATTTACGGAATCCACTAGCCCTCGGAATGTCTGAAGCCACTCACCCATACCTCCACCCCTCACCCTCACTCCTGAGGTGGTTTTATGGGTATAAAAGGTCTTGACACCCTCCTTTCAGGGCCACAGGTTGTAGAGATGAGAGTCCTCCATGGCCGCTGGCAATAAAGACCCTGCTATTTGGCATACTTTTGTCTTGGTGTTGACTTTCTATGCTTGGTTCAGTACAACAGGAGGGTCTGTGCTGTGGGCCGAAGCCCTGTCTGGTGATGAGCAGTGAGGAGAGGGGTGGGACCCATGAGAAATAAACTGGGAATCCTTTCCTTCATTTCTGAAAAGTATCTTTACTGGGAATAATATTCTTAACTGGAAATTTTTTCTATTCACTTTGAAAAATCAAAGCACTTTGAAAATATTAACCCATTCTCTCCTGGCCTATAAGGTTTCTGCTGAGAAATCTGCTACTAATCTAATAGTTGAATAGATATTCCTTTGTATGTAACTTGGTGCTTTTCTCTTGCGGCTTTCAAAATTCTTTGTCTTTTGCTTTTGACAAGTTAAATATAATGTGCCTCAGGACCAGTTTGGGTGGAATCTACTTAGCATTCTTTGACCTTCCTGAACCTGGATGTCTGTCTCTCTCCCAATATTTGGGTAGTTATTTGATATTATTTTATTTTCCCTCACTTCTTCTGCAATACCCATAGTATGGACTTAATGATGTCCATAAATCCTGTAATCTTTCTTCATTCTTTCTAATTCTTTTTTCTTCTTTTTTGATCTGCCTGTATTATTTCAAAGAACATGTCCTTAAGTTCAGAAATTTTTTCTTCTGCTTAGTCTAGTCTGTTGTTGAAGCTCTCAATTGTATTTTTATTTTATTCATTGAATTATTGGGCTCTAGGATTTGTTTGGTTCTTTTTTATATCTATCTCTTTGTTAAATTTCTTAATCAAATCATGAACTGTTTTCCTTATTTCATTGAATTGTCTATCTGCATTCTTTGTACCTCACTAGGATTCCTTAATATTATTTTAAATTGTTTTGGGGGGCATTCCATATATTTCCTTGTAACCGGGGTCTGTTACTGGGCTTTCTGCATTACTTCCTATAAATTTCTTCTCAATGTTTATATGTGTGTGTGTGTGTGTGTGTGTACTAATTATTTTTCCAGAGTCCAACAAGACATATTTGAATGTCATGTGGGACACGGGACAATTCACTGTGTGCCTGGGCAATGCACTGTAGGATGTCTAGCTTCCCTAAACTGTTGACAAGGAACAACACTCCAACAATTTTTCACAAACAAAAATTATTCCGCAAATTTCCAAGACACTCTCTGGGAGTCAGTGTCACTTTTTTTGGAAACTCTACCTTAGATCTATGAAAATCATCCCTGAAGTCCATGCTAACGTTGAGTATGTCTGGATTCCAAGGTCATCACCCATAAAGAGTCAAAGTATGGACCAGTCACAATGGTTGTCCTGTTACCTCTCACACCCGGACAACTCCTAATGCCTTCCTAAAAATCTAGTGAAAACGAGCTAGTGTTAATATTCATGACAAAGGCAAAAAAGACAAAACACACTCTGGTCTTTTTTTCTTGGGTTAGTATTATCTTCAGTGACAATAACTTGTTGTATGTCACTCACCAAGCACCACGCTCTGGTTTAATCTTGTCATCTTAATCCTCTCGACAACCCTATAAAGAGAAAATTTCATTCCCAATTTAGAGATGAGAAAACTGGGGCTTAGAAATTTGGCTGCCCCAACTTCTAAAACTATTAGTCTTCTCTGATTCCTTGGCAATCTACCCCGGTCCACGCAAGGCCTCCAGTCCTATTAAGGCCTCGCGCCCCCTCCCCCCGACCCCCGGGGTAGAATGGGCAACCTGATTGGAGGTGCTTGAAGAAAGGGAAAAGTGGTCTAAGAAGGGCCTAATAAGGAACCAACTGTCAGCTCAACTCCACCCCCTACTCCTCTGCTCGGGGCGTTGCCCAGGGAGTCCACCCCAAACGCTGCTGCGGCTTTGTCTTTCTACTTTCATTTTACGTGCTGGTGGCCCGGACCTTTGAGACGTTCTGAACCCTCCCGCTACAGCAGCGCGTTCCTCTTGGCCCAGCTTCCAAAGCTCTTGGCCACCGGGTCATCCCTGCAGGCCCTACGGCCGCGGATCCAGGAAACCCTCTACCCGCAGCCCAGCTGCTGAGTTTACAGTCCCTTGGGCTCTGGGCTCCAGGGTGCGCGTTCCCGCCCCGTGGTGGCTGTGCGGACGCCCCGACTTGCCGCGCAGGAGCGCTCGGTTCCTCTCCCGGTCCCAGAGCGCCGCAGCTGGGGCTCGCGGAACTAGCCTTCGTTTCCATGGCAACGCAGTACACAAACACTAGCCCTAGAAGCTCGCGGCGATGTGCTTCAGCAAAGCGGGTGAGAAGGACTGCGGAGGAGTCTAGAGTAGAGGGTAGGTAGGGGGCAGGGTGGAGACGCTGCGAAAGATGAAGGGGGAGGAAGTGCAGTTCGCCCCACTGTGGAGTTTGGCGTGGTTTTGTAAGTGCACGGTTGGGCCCTGTCCTCTGCTCAGTCTCCCCGAGCGCGCTCATGTAGACCCAGGTGCCGATCTTCACGTGGAACCTCTCCTCTTTCTTTATTCTAGACACTGTGAATAACTACTGTTTTGGAACATGTCAACAGAGGAAACTTTTTCCTTACTTCCATCCCCCAAATTTGATTGGGAACAAGTTTGTCCCTCTTAAGGGATCACCTCACCGAGGGCCTGGGTGTTACTTACCAGATGTGAGTATTCACCTCTCCTTGGGTGGGTCTCAGTTCCCCCGCTATTGACGGATAGCCAAGTTTCCAAGTTTTGTAAAAGAAAAAATTCTATGGGACTTGAGATCTTCAGAGTCCCAACGTAAGAAAGCGCTCTGTTCTTCTGCAAGCAGCTGTTTAAGCCAATGCTGGAGATTAATGCACCGTTGCTCCCTGCCTTGCACCTCCACTAAAAGCAAGCGCTAGCTTCGTGTAATTCCTGCTCCGACCTCACTTCCAAAGGCCTGTGAGCCAATGCCAGTTACCCTCCCATTCCTCCAAACCTCAGGCTGACAGGTGCATTACAGTAAGTTTCAGCTCTGTGGCGCTCCGAAGACTGGATTCATTTGAATATACGGCAATGTCCCTTATTCTACCTATCCAGCCACACCCCTCTACAAAGTTACCTGTATTACTTGTGTAATTCTATGGTCTTGAGTCAAGACAAGAAAGTGTAATCCCTTGCATAGAAAATTCAGATGGGTACATGCTAAGTTCACCCAATTTTGATGGTCCTGATGTTCTCTGACTATGTGTTGTCTTTTCTTTGTTTGTTTGTTTGTTTAATATATCACCGAAAGGCATATGGCTTGGCATACAACTTGTCTAAGATCCCAACCAGCATAAAAGGATATACTTTGGGAGCCAGAACAGCTGTGAGGTTTAAGCCAATACAGAAGGTAATGTGCTGGGATTTTAGTGTTGTCCACGTTGCCGCATGCATTTGCACAGGAGTGCAAAGGGCAGAGAGCAAGGGGGCTGATCTAAAAGCATATGCCCTGAAATTAAAGAAAAGTGGGCATTTAGGCAAAAGCTATTAAGAAGCCTATCTGAAAAGCTTGGGCATTGACATTGCAAAGATGCGTGTGAGTATACTGGGAAGAGTGGAAAACAATTTACAGAAGAAATGGTCCCAACACAGGGCTTTGGTGCTGAGATGCCTGAGGTTAAAATATTAGAAGCTTGCATTTGTATACATTGTATTATCTTGTCAGTTTTAAAAAATTCCAATTTTTCCACCCTTTTGTGTGATTGGGTTTCAAGTCTAAAGTTCAGTATAGGATCCTAATCTCTTATTGGACATTTCTTGACACTTGAGCATAAGGAGCAGAGATACTAGCTCTAAAAATCTCTGACTGAGATGTTAAGGGTAGTGGCTGGGATAAGTTGCCTTGCCTCTCTACACATCCTAGATTTATTTCTACAACCTATATGTTATGTATCCCTAGATAGCTGAACCACACACATCTCAGTTTTCTACCGAAGGCTTATTTCTGTAGCCTGAGGTGGCTAAACCATAGCTGATTTATGAATAGAAAGAAGATGATTCTGTTTTCTTTCTACCTGGAAGGCTTTATGTGTGTGTGTGAGTGTGTGTGTGTGTGTGTGTGTGTGTGTGTGTGTGTCACTCTCTAACATAATGCTCTTTTTCTTGGAAACAGGAAATAACACCTCACGCAGGCATGTACCAACCAGTAAGTCCTCAGCTGGAAAAACACAAACAAAATTTTGCTCCATTTAATGTCTTGGTGCCTCGATTTAAGAACTACTCAAAGGACACTTACTATCCCAGGTATGTCTCCTCTCTTCTGGTGCACTACAACAAAATGCAATAGGGGAAAATGAGTACTGTATGTAATAAGAAAAGAAGCGTGTAAAGAAGGGATGCCATCCAAACCATCCCAGTTAAATAAGGAACCACTCAACAGATTTAATCAGTTGTCTCAGATTTTGGCATTGTAGAATTGCAGAATTATATTTACTCATTCAGTGAATTTTTATTAACGTGCCAGGCAGTTCTGTAAGTTCAATAGATTTTGCAGTAAGTCCATCACATAAGGCTCCTGATTTCTTGGGGCTTATATTCTAGAGCCCAGACAGAGCACAAGCAAATACACAAGAAAATATCAATAGTAATGAGGAGTGACCATATAATTTGTTAGTCAAACCATGACACTTCTGAGAGTAAAAGGGATCCTATTAATAATTCTACCAAGACAGTAGCCACGAGGTAGGGACTATCAAGAACAAACCAGGAAGAAGCTTGCCCAGGTGATATGCTACAAAGAAGGTAAAACAGGAAGACAGTATAATAGTGAGTGATGGGCTGGAGTCTACTTTAGCAAGGGTTGGAGAAATAACACTCAACCTGAGATCTGAATGACAAGACTGAGCTGGCCCTATGAAGATCCAGGGACAGAGCATCCCAGCAGAAGGAACGGCAGGTGCATAGGCTATAAATTGGGAAGGAATTTGACTACTGGCTTGAGCAAAAAGGAATGCTAACATGGCCAGAGTATAGTGAGCAAGGAGAAATGAGACAGAAATGGAGGGCATACTGGAGCATATAGGCCTTGCAGGCCAACAGGCTTACTCTCAATGCTTCAGGAAGCTGTTCAGAATGTATAGAATTGTAAGGCAAAAGATCAAGGCCTTTATTTTATTGATGAGAAATCCAAGGATCACAGAGTGAATGTAACTTTATCAAGATTGCATCAAGGAAGTAGAAACATTGAGTCTTGACCCCCCCGTGTTCACTTTGTAATTTCCTGACAGTAATGAGTCTACACAAAAGACAAAGTGTGATGAACAAGATAAATTTTAAATGAGCCCATTGTCAAGAAAATTTAACTGGTTCTGCTTTGCTGTGCCTACATTGCAGATAGATTATCACTGCACTTTTATCACCAACTTTAAATTGTGATAATTTATCACTGTTTTAGATCTGTTTCATCACCCACCGTTTCTAGGACCTTCTTGTCCCTCAGCTATGGAGACTGAGGTGCAGAAATATCTTTTAAACTGGAGTCAATCTGTGCTCTAATTGGATGTCAAGATTGTCAAGTTAGATATTTAACACCAACATCTAACTCAAAATATATTAACAGGTAAAAGAATTCCATGCTTAATTAAAAAGCTAATCAGTCTGTTGCCTTTTTCCAAGAGGTTAGGCCTAGTTCAGGGTCAGCTCTGGTACTGACAGAGTTTGTGGATGGTCACTAACTCATTAGACATGATGCTTGTATTTTGATTTTTAGCCCTGGCACATACAACCCAGAGAAGAAGCCACCTCCAAAAATTTCCTGGCCAATGAGATTTGGATCTCCAGACTGGGCTCAGGTTCCATGTCTTCAGAAAAGAACCTTAAAAGCTGAGGTAATAAGATTGGACTTCTGTAGAGGACTCTTATTCTATATAGTACTTTCATATGTATAAGGGACTCTTATCTAGGGGTTTGTGGATGAACTTCAGGAAGTCCTTGGCCCCAAAAATTATATGTACAATTTTGTGTGTATATGAATATAAAGATCTTTTTGGAGAATGACACTATTTTATTATATTCTTAAAGGTATATATGACTAAACAAGGGACATTTTCTCATTTGATCCTTAAATAATCTTTTGTGACGGGTACAGAGGAAGTATCCCTACACAATAGAGGCTCAGAGGGATTAAGTGATTTGTGCAGGTTGCACAGCTGGAAACCAGATCTCGTGACTCCTAATCCATTGCTCTTTCCAACACATCCCTTGAGTACTAGATCACTAAGGAGCCGCAGAGCATTCAGCTAAGAGCATGGATTCTGAGTACAAATCTGCTTGGATTCATATACTAGCTTCAGTATTTACTTGTTGTATAATCTTAAGCAAATCCTTTGACTTTTCTGAGCCTCAGTTTTTTAATCTGTAGAATGGGTATTACAATAGAATCAATCCAATAAGGTTATAAAGGAAATGTGGAAAATTACTTAGCACAATACCTGATAACATAGTAATTGTTCAATCTGTTAACTATCATAATTCCAGAGGTGCTTTTTTTCTTTCCTAAATTCACAATTCTTTATTATTAAGTGCCTAATGTATTAGCATTATTGCATTAGGGCCTATGGGTAACATTCAGGAATTAAATCATATAATTCTTGACTTCAATAAGCCCACCAACTGCTTGGGGATTTGCTAAGTAGCAAATAATTCCTAGCATGGTATATACTATAGTAAGATGATAAAGGGTAAGATGTACATATGCATCTTGGGAGAATCACTAAGGCTAGGTTACTACAGGGTTGGGATTCACTTCTGTAATGTACGCTTCTTTTTTGCATAATTGGGAAGACCAGAGGCAGAGGATTCTCATTAGAATTTTGATCTAGACAACATTCTTGCATTGCAGCTGTCCACAGACAAAGACTTTAGAAAGCATCGGAACCGTGCGGCCTACCTAAGCCTGTATTATAATTGAGCAGCGGTAACTACCTTCACGTGCTCCTCTTAAACACAGACTCTCCAGGACTGAGGACAGAGCTTTCTTCTTCTTCTGCATTACTGTGACCTTCTTGTCTGGCAGTCTGGGACCCAGGGAGGGACAGGGGCTTATAGCTGCTGCATGAGAGCATAAAGATTAGTGTACAGTGCTTGTGGTGTGTATGTGCGTGTCTGAGTCTGTGGGTTCCTGCTGGGTGGTGAGTTGGATGATTTCACTTTATGAAATATTTTGGGCCCCTGCTTTCTAGTTCTAATTCCCAGGTGCCAATTTTATATATTCTACCACTAGCCCTGGTCGTAGGAGGCTGTTAGCCTATACATATCAAGGATTTGGATGGGATTTGGGCTTGCTAGACACAGAAGACACTTCCAGGCAGATTAAAACATTTATTGGCGCTCTGCCAGTTGCATTCCTCAGCGTAGAGTGTGAAGGTCTTGATTTGGTTGACTTACCCAGATTGACATAAAACTCAAAAACCAAAACTTGCCCATTTCCCATGACATCATCTACTTAGTCTGTCAGTCAACATACATATTCAGGTCCTGCTACGTATTGGGCAGAGTAGTAAGCACTGGGGATATGGCAAGAATCAAACTTATTTTTTAACTCCTTGGGCCTGGCTTGAAGTCAGAGGAGGACTCCTGGGGGAAGCTAGTGGATTGGGTCTGCCCTCCAATCTGAATGACCCCCTAGAGCCTTTACAAGTCAGTCTAGGGTTATAAAGGTCAGAAAATATATAGCCCCAGACTGACTTGTAAACAGCTACATTTAAAGTACTTACTCAGACACTCAGGCCTGAGAGTTAGAACCCTTTCCTTCCAGCACTAACTGAAATAATCAAGTATAGTTTGTTCAGGATTGGCATTAAATGTAATCTAATCTTGTAATAGGATGGCCCTTTAGTACCCACGTAGGCTTCTTTGTCATAACCAGAAAAGTGGTAAGCCTGCATGTGTCTGGATACCAAAGACTGAGAAGCTGCCCATGGCTGCAGGAGAGCACTAGCCTACTGTAACCCTTACGGCCACCCCCCGATCAGTGATAGCTGGGGAAAGGGCTAGCAAGAGGTGAAACCTCCTGGGCATATGATGCTGGGGGCGCCTAACTTCTGAAAGGCCAAGTTCTTCTAAAACAATAATGGTGGTGAAGGACAGGAAAGTCTTGATGGGAAATCACCTAGGACATATTAAGATAATGATAAACATACTCAGCAAAAAACGTACCTAATATATACACTTCTTTTAATCTGATGATTTAATGATTTCTATTATCTTGTCAAGAAGTATTTATGACTTGAGATAAGTCCGCATTAATTCTTATCACCTCTCCTCCACATCTCCTCCTTCCTCTCCTTTGTACCCACACCTGCAGACTTTTTCAGAGGTGACAATTTAACATTCAGTGGTTTATTTTCTGATTCAGGGTCTTAGGTCCCTTCTTTGGAGGATATTGAGGGGGTGGAGGTGGGGATAGAACATCTTTCACACTGTTTAGTACATACATTCAAAGACTTTTCCAGGGAAGAGAACTCTCTAAAATAGTGATCTGATTTGATGAAAGATAAGATTTTAATATAGCTTCAGTTAACCTTCAAGGTCCTTTAAGGTGCTAAATTGTACATAAAAGTAATTAAGAAAGTACAAATGAACACAAAGACCAAAACATACTGTGCCACATTTATTTTACAGCTAGACTTGGTTCGAGGAGTTTATAGTATTTTCAGGGCTTAATAGAGTTAAGCTTTATTATAATGCTGTTTTATTGGGGTAAAGCTTCCAATGTGACAGATTTATAAAATATGGAGACTACATGACACATCGGAGGATGTGGTTTGACATGCAGACAACAGAATCTGTGACACTAGGATTTTACAAGTACATTTAAGGCCAGTTGTCACGCTTACAGTTCTGCTCCAGCCTTGGGCATAGTTGAGGTGAAAGGTACTGCCTTCCCCACACTGGTGGAACTTGGTATTGTCTTCAGGATTACTATAAATGCCATCGGCTTTACCACTACATCAAGCTCCGTCTCCTCAATTGCCCCCATCACCACTGCCTTCTCCATCACTTCCCTCGTTACTGCCACTTTCTCCACCACTGCCACTGCCTCTACCAATATTAGCACAGAAGCCTTCACTTCTGGGTGTCACAGGTCAGTTATACCAGCTGTTGACGGCTGGTGGAATACATTCTGAAAGAATAACAACATTTCAGAGCATCATCATATCCTGTTTTTATGCATAGAAACAAGCAGCTCTGGACTCTGTCCTATATCAGTTCTGTTCTCAGAAAACCGGAGGAAAGCTGCAGCTGGGAAGACTGCTGCATGAGGTCAGATGTCCAAAGGAAGGAGGAGAGAGACAAAGGCCCTGGGGTCCTAGCAGGACGTCAAACCTCGGCTTCCATGCTAGTTACACTAGAGGGGAAATAAACCCAACCCTACAGTGATAAGGAATGACTTTATTTTGAGACTCTAATATTTGAGCTTTGATAGGGGAGGCTTATCTGTCAGTATTTCTGTCATATGTAATGTATTTAGATTTTTCTTACCTTGTTATGTTTTGTCTTTCATGCTTTGTTTTCTTGCTTCATTTCAGCACTGATTTTTCCTTCTTTCCTCTCCCATGTTGATTCAGAAATTTTATATTTCATTTTCCTCTGCTAGTAGAATGCTCTTAACCACTAAAGTTTTCTGGCTCACTGTTCAATTTGAGTCAATAATTTTTTTTTTTTTTTTTTTTTTTTTTTTGAGATGGAGTGTCACTCTGTTGCCCAGGCTGGAGTGCAGTGGTGAGATCTTGGCTCACTGCAACCTCCACCTCCCAGGTTCAAGTGATTCTCCTGCCTCAGCCTCCTGAGTAGCTGGGACTACAGGCATGCACCACCATGCCCAGTTTTTTTTTTTTTTTTTTTTTTGTATTTTTTAGTAGAGACGGGGTTTCACCATATTGGCCAGTTCAAGGCTGGTCTTGAACTCCTGACCTCATCATCCACCCACCTCAGCCTCCCAAAGTGCTGGGATTACAGGCATGAGCCACTGTGCCCAGCTGAGCATATTATTTTATAATCTCTTATAGGTTTCTACAGTTCTAAAAAAAATCAATAATTATATGAATTTCTTTAGAGACCTTATATAGCAGCTTCCACTGCTCTCCCTCCACTTTTAGACCTGTCCCAAGGGATGCTTAATCCAAGGAACATACAAAGTCCATGAAGAGCAGGAGTTTCTCACTTCCTACTGTTGAGACCCATCAGCCACCTAAGCCTTTGTCCCTGATCCTTTTTATGATGTCCTTCCAGCTGTCCTCACCAGGACCCAGACAACAAAATTTCTGCATCTAAATTAGGAAATGGTGCACTGCCATGAGTGAGAGAACTGATCTACCTCAGAGATAAATGCCAGTTCATATAGGCATACCTCAAATATGTTACAGTTTCAGTTCTAGGCCACCACAATAAAGCAAATATTGCAATAAAATGAGTCACACAAGTTTTTGGTTTCCCAGTGCATATTAAAAGTTATGTTTACACTCTACTGTAGTCTATCAAGTATGCAATAGCATTATGTCTATGGCGGGATTCATCACCTTCATTCAAGGGCCCATGGTACTTGAATAAACATCAGCAGTAGTTGGGTAGTACTTGCTGCAGGCCTAGGCTGAGACCCAGTACCACACTGGCTTCAGGTATAACCCAGCACATTCCCAGCTATGGTGGCCACAAAGAGACTCCTTCTGCTTGAGAGAGGAGAGAGAAGATTAAGAGGGACTTTTTCTTGCAGCTTGTTTACCAACTTGGCCACAGTTGGGTAGAGCACCAAGTGGGCTCCTGGGATTCCTACTTCAGGCCTTGGCTTCTAGATACATTTCTGGACCACCCTAGGCTGGGAGAGGGCTCAGCACCCTGAAGGGAAGGACACAAGTCTGCCTGGATTCACACTTGTTGACTGAAGAGCCCTTGGGCCTTGAGTGAAAATCAGTGGTAGCCAGGCAGTGGTCACCAGGGGCCTTGGGCAGGATCCAGTGGTGTGCTGGCTTCAGGTCTGACCCAGTATAGTCCCAGGGGTGGTGGCCACAAAGGTACCTGTGTCACCTTTCCCTCAGCTCCAGGCAGCTTAGAACAAAGCAAGAGAGACTTTGTTTATTTGGGGAAAAGTAAGGAAAAAGAAGAGAGTAGGAGTCTCTACCTGGTAATTCAGGGAATTCTCTTGGATCATACCCAAGACCACCAAAGCAGTACCTCTGCAAGTCTGCAAGAGTCACATTGTTACTGGGCTGGGGTTGCCCCCTAATGCAGACACAGTTGCAGTGACCAAAGACTTAGATCACAACACCCAAGTTCTTTCATGTTTTTGTTTCTGTGTGTGTGTGTGTGTGTGCGCTTTGAGACAGAGTCTTCCTCTGTCACCCAGGCTGGAGCATAATGGTTCACTGAAACCTTTGCCTACCGGGTTCAAGCGATTCTCCTGCCTCAGCCTCCCAAGTAGCTGGGATTACTGGCATATGCCACCACATCAGATTAATTTTGACTTTTTGGTTTTTTGTTTGTTTGATTTTTTTTTTTTTTTTTTTTTTTTTTTAGTTGAGATGGGGTTTCACCATGTTGGCCAGGCTGTTTTCAAACTCCTGACTTCAGGTGATCCTCCTCCTGGGTGCCCCAAAGTGCTGGGATTATAGGTGTAAGCCACCACACCCAGCCCGACTCTCTTCAAGTACCAGGAAAGTCTTCTCAAGAAGGATGTACAAACAAATCCAGACTGCAAAGACTATAGTAAATACCAAATTCTTTAATACCCAGACATCGACCAACATCCACACATATCACCATCCAGGAAAACATGACCTCACCAAGGTAACTAAATAAGGCACCAATGATGGATCCTAGAGTAACACAGATATGTGACCTTTCAAACAGAATTTAAAATAGCTATTTTAAGAAAAAAAAAATCAAGATAACACAGAGAAGGAACTCAGATTCCTATTAGATAAACTTAACAGAGATTGAAATAATTTTTAAAAATCAAACAGAAATTCTGGAGCTAAAAAATTCAGTTGACATACTGGAGAAAGCATCAGATTCTCTCAACAGAAGAATTTATCAAGATGAAGAAAGAATTAGTGAGCTTGAAGACAGGCTATTTAAAAATACAGTCAGAGGAGACAAAAGAAAAAAGAACAAAAAAGAATGAAGTTGGCCTTAAAAAGGAGGTAGCGAGAAATAAGGGTGGAAGTCCAATCTGCTTTTTAAAATCTCTTGCCCTTTCTAACGTGCTATCTGGAGGTACTATGGCTGGAGGCCAGAGCAGTTAGACCTTGGGTGTTTTTGCTGCTGTAATGTGATTGTGAACCAGTAATTAATGTCCATATAGCTATATATTAAAGAACCAGACTCCAACTGTCCTGTTGGGCAGGAGAGATACCTTGGAAAGTAGGTATCCACTCAGTGAAATGATTAGGTATCTAATTAGTGAAATCATATGCAAGTCTTCTTCAGTATTTCTTATGGTCTGAGCCCATCCAAGGGGTGAGCCTTACTGACCCCAGTGGACCAGAGAACAGCCATGGAATAGAGGTTGGATTAGTGGACTTCAGAGTAAGAATGTAGAAAAGGAAATGGGTTTACTCTAGTGTTTAGACATTTGAACCAATGAAATTAAACACAAAGTATCTGTGTACTTTAAAATACAGTCCTTCAAAAACCAAGCTTTCTGATAGGGCAAATCCTTTGAGGTCAGGAGTTCGAGAATAGCTTGGCCAACATGGTGAAACCCCGTCTCTACTAAAAATACAAAAATTAGTTGGGCGTGGTGGTGTGCACCTGTAATCCCAGCTACTCGGGAGGCTGAGGCAGGAGAATTGCTGGAACCCGGGAGGCAGAGGTTGCAGTGAGCCTACATCGTGCCTCTGCACTCCAGCCTGGGTTGCAAGAGTGAAACTCCATCTCAAAAGAGAAAAAAAAAAACCACTATGTTTTCCTTCCTTATTATAACCACCTTGACACACACACACATTTCCTTTCTTATCTCTTTCACTGTTTTTTCCTCCATCGTTTTTAAGACCACGAGGAAAAGGGCTATGCAAATTCTTACTCACCTCAAGCTCCCCAACCCTTTACCTTCTCTAAGTGTCCACAAAATTGAAGTCTTGAGAAGCAGAACTTAAGTGACTGTACCTACCCATTCTGTTTCCTCCCACATTATAAAAATGATGGAAGACTTTATTCCTACCCCACATCAACCCCAGATCATATGACTACAAATTAACACATTTTACTCAAGTGTAATCATGGGAAGGGTGAAGCATGGAAGCTTTACTGAGAAATATTTTGCCCATATTCCTTCAGACTCTTCCAGTTTCATAACATGATTTTACCTATATTGAACTTGCAAATCTCAAAAGTACATTAATTATTATATTTAGTTTCAATATAATCAGTAATTCATCCATGACTTCTAACTGGCAATATCCACTCCATCAACCCAAGAAATAAATAAATGTTTATCTTAAGTTCTAATTAGCTACTTTGGGAGGCTGGGAAAGCACAGGAAGAATAATGGGCTATAAGACAGACATCCTGATGACTCACATTAAGTGAAATATGTCTAACTACACATAACACACACGCTTCAAAAAAAGACAGACCAACAATGCCT